TGGATGGATGGATGGATGGATGGATGGATGGATGGATGGATGGATGGATGGATGGATGGATGGATGGATGGATGGATGGATGGATGGATGGATGGATGGATGGATGGATGGATCCGAGATGGATGGATGGATAAACTGACTAATTACTTTTTTACCAACAAATGCTCTTAACTAAGTTGATCAAAATGCGCAAAATCGGTATTCTCTAGTCAGGAGCTAATCTCACGTACATCATACCTCTGTGCTTACTCACAAGCTAAGGTCAATGACGGTCAGGTGCTCTGAAGTCTTTATTCATAGCCTGTTTACAGACAAAACACTTCAAGCGTACGCCCTTTCCTAAGACCACCCTCTCAATGAATACGGGAGGAGGAAGAGAGATGATTAGTCACACCTAGACTTGTCATGTGACTACATAAGCCGACAAACCAGCAATATTTGCTATCAAACAATAAAAGTGGCTGTTGACCTTATAAAATCAAAAATGTGCAAAATATGCTATAATTTGTGATGTTATTTTATTGCCCACTATGTGAAAATGTCAAAAAAACTAAATGTCACCTTTTCCATCTAGGAATACTTGTGTACAATTGAAAACTTTTAAATGCCTACTGATGATTCAAATCGAAGCATATTCCTATTGGTTTTGTTACACGGTAAAAAAATCTTGAGGAAAGAAATGCAATTTGACTAATGAGTTGTATCCAATTGTCCACATGCTCATCAGCCAATTAAAAAGGAGCTGTGAAAAAAATCGATCAACCGCTTGAATTTTATTGGTTGAAACAGAAATCGTGATGGACAATTTCCAGGAGCCATAATAAAGGGTAGGCTAAATAAAAGACGCTGCCCTCAGTGCCACCGCACAAGTAATTAGTCTCTTTATTTGTCAGGAGCCTGAGAAAAAAACCTGACAAGGGAAGGATGCTGTCTTGTAGATAATAATTCACTATGACAGTGGAGGTCATCTGTCAAGGGGTATTGTGTTATTGCAGAACAACACCTATGTGTTGAGGCTCTTTGATATGAGCCTGTTTGCAGCATTTAAAGGAAGAAAATTTTTTTCTTCAAAAAAAAGGAATTATTAACCATGATTGGCGAATTCAGGAGCTGAAAAGAAGATTGCAAAGGAGGTGACACAAACTGAGACTCAGACTGACTGACCTTGATGTTAGCACAGCTATTTTTGATGGATATGACACGCATGATGTTGGTGGCATCTTCGGCGTCTGGATCGTTGGAATATTTGTTGGCAAGAACCAAACAGGCGTCGGCATTCTCCAATCCAACACGAGTCAGATCCCTTGTCACCATCACCGATCCCTGGTTTGGCAGAGGAACAAATAAAGCTTTTTTATTCATGCTACAGACGGATAAGAGGTTTTTGGTATTGCAATGACATTTTGACTACCCAAAGACTTAAAGCATAACCAGTGGGCTGGATAGGACGATAAAAGATTCTCCTCTGAGTTACTTATACTCCAAAGAGAGAAAACTTCACATCTAAAGATTTCTTCCTTTTTTGGATCGCCATAATTGATACCTTCATTCTTCGCGATGGCATTGTGCTGACAACCGAAATAATCTCTTTCACCCAGACCACAGGCAGTGGCCCAACAGAAGACACATGGTCGGGTTTGTCTACCCACACCAGCTCTTCAATCTCCATAGCTTGTTCACCAGCTGGATGGCAGGTTTCTCTGATCGCATTTTGAGACTCCCAGATGCAGTACCAGGCCAACTATTCTTATTTCCCTGAAAGGTCGGTGAAACTAGGGGCACTTACTGTAGAAGGGTCAAAAGGGAGCGAATTCTCAGCTTTGAGGTCTACACAGTAACGGCTGATGAGGAGAGTGGAGCCTGATACTAGCAGTACGGGATATTCTCGCTTGGTGAGCAGTGTAGGTCACTGTAGCATCCCCACCTGCCTTCGGCACAGTTACCCAAATGGACTGATCTAGTTCACAGATAAAGGCTCAGGATTTTACCCTTTACCTCATTTTTTCGCGCGATTTTATGGGATGGTGGTGTGAGAACCGGAAGCATATCATCCAATCCTTTCTGAGTGGCAGAAAATCGGCTGCCTACTCACAAGCAATAGCGCTAACACCTGCAAACAGCATTAAATGGACTGCAAAGAAATGCTGCTTTTTGACCTCTCACTTGTTCTTGGCACTTAAAAATTTGTAGAGTCATTGTAAGGCCTTTGAATGATTCAAATAGGATGTATCATTCTGGTAGCTTCCGTGGAAGTTACTAATGAAAATGGCAGATTTAGGTATGTACCAAAGGGAAGTAGATTTAAGGAATTAAGGAAATAAGTAAAGGTTAACTGCGCCTTCAAAAGGCATTCGCTTTTGTGGTCTATGGAGGGTGTGGGGGGGATTTTTACCACCTCCAAATCAGGGAAATCAGACTCCTCGACACTGGTATTACCAAAGCGATCGGTTTAAATCCTGCTCAACAATGCCAAAAATTACTTCCAAATTCTTTTAAGTTTTATAGGTCCATGTGGATCAGAAATTTAGGGAGGGTCACATATATGTGACGCGAAGGGATGGGACTGAATGCAGCTCTTCCATGTGCTCACGGTTTGATTGCCACTAGGGTATGACTGAAACCCCTTTGACAGATACCAACACTTATGTGCTCCCTAGGGAATCCTGTTTTTTGATGACGCCTTCAGGGATAAAGGAACATGGCAACCAACGGTTAAAGCGGACAAACCTTCAAATCAACTGAAGGTATTTGGAGAAGTTAATCAAATTATTTGTAAAAACCATATTTTAAATTTTACTAGGGAAACAAATGAAAAAGGAATGTCTTGACGCAAGCTAAAATTATCTGCCAAATGAACAAGCAATTTGCCGATTTAGCGCACAGATTAATAGCCCTTTTTAATGTGTATGACTGGACGTCGTTTTTTTATTCCTTTTCCCCTCCTCCTCTTCCCCTTTTCAACAGGCATTAGGCAGTCTCCAGGGTCTCCCGTCACAACCAAATTTAGACGAACGCCCTTCACCTCCTCACGTGATTTCCATTTTTAACTGGGCTACACGAAGAAGAGCAAGGACAGGTTGAACAAGAAGGCAGTGACATTTGGCTTCCCTTTCACCCCACATTCCCGTCTTGCCCCCACTCCCCCTCCACTACCGGACATGAGTTGTACGGACTGGTTTTTACAATGATCACAAATTCGTGGCTGTGCTTCAAATAATGGATTTTTGTTTCTAAGGCCTACTGGGAGAAAATTGGGCTACAGTTATGGCATTGTTGTCATTTGTGCCCTTTCTTTCCCTCTTGACTGCACCTTTCACCCTCAGCACGCCTCCTATCACGTGTCAATTTGTCCACTTCAAGAGGTCTTCCCTTCACCACGCTGGCCTGACTGTTCTGGGCGTCAAATAATTAAGTGTTTGTGGCTTGAATCAGAATGACTGTCTCGTCGTTTTTGAACCTAATTAGCACATTTCCGCACCCCAGGTGGGCGTGGAGATCAATCTAAGGATGTTTTGCCCATCTGTCAAATGCTGAAATGACCCATGCCGATTTCAATACCTGGCCCCTTTCACAGTGCCGTTTTATACCCTTTTAAGAGCTCGTAAAAACGAAGGATATCAAATGGCGAATGAAGGGGTCGAACTGATCAACAGGTATTATCAGTCCCGCTCTGCTCCTAAATAAGCACGTTTTTTTCCAAACAAAGTTCATTTTGGGTTCCCAAGTAGCGAATCGCTTCAAAAAATACTTGTCTTTACTTCTTTAATCAACGGTAAAAAGAGGCGCGTTTCTGTATTCGACATCCACTCCGTTTTGGATAAAAAAATCATTCCCAAGCCTTGGAATTTTCTATTTCATTCTAAAAAATATCACGCATTAGTTCTTTCTGGGGAAAAGTTGCCATTTGCTCTTTTTTTAATTTTTACTATTTGCGAGAGAAGTGGAGTAGAAAAGGTGGGATTTTTCTAGCGGAAGATGAGCAGCCTGAAAATTCCTAATTTGGCAAAAAACATTTTCACAGTTTGTTTAAGTGTGTGGGCCCGGTGTTGTGAATCCACGCTGCGATTGGGCCCCTGGGAGGAGGCAACGGCCTCCAAGTTTTCCTACTCCTTAACAATACATCTGCCCCCATTCCAACTTAGTTTATTGCGGCTTTTGGAAGGACTCAAACCATTACAAACCGCTTGGTTGTTATCCAGTGAGGCAAAGGCGTATCTGTCTCAGAACAACGTCGTAAATCTACGTCATTTAAGGGAAAATGAGGTGAGCATGAAAGAAGTCAAGTGTTTAATAAGTTGGAACGTCCAAGTGTAAATGTCCAACATGCTTCTCCTTAAAAAAACCAATGGCCATCAAAATTAAGCCTTTTTCGTAATTTACAATATTTATGTTTAAATGTATAGGTGTGTGCTTGCATAAAAAAAGGGCATTTTAGCTTTTAAAGTGTTTCCTTAGAAATCTAGGGACAGCATAACAAAGGAATCTACCTGGAAGTAGTGCACTTGGTTTTCATATCGCTTCAACAGGCCTTCCATCTCCAAATTTGGCGCCTTTTGATCCAAAATGACAATTTGAGTGACTACATTCTCTCGATCCTTGTGCAGGAAGTCAGAGAGAAAGTTCTTCACACTGGTAAAGGTGATATGGCCACAGAGGATGAGGTGCGGTTTGCCCAAGCGTGTCACATAGGTGCCACCATACTTGGTTCTCGAGTCCAATATGTCCGCTATCTCCGGCACCGCGTTTGCGAAGACCGCCAATGCGCCCAAAATGAACACCACCATGAAAGCGCGACCCGTGGTAGTTTGACATGTCAGATCGCCGTAGCCCACTGTGGTCATTGTCACAATAGTCAGGTAGAGACATTCGAAGTAGGTGAAGTTCTGTTGATTTAGGTACATCGGTGGATCACCAGAATTCTCTACTAGGTGTATAAATCCCGCCGCAGAGATGACAAACCCTGCGAAAAAAGTCACCAGATAGGAGAGCCGAATTGCTGTGCTAGATTTAATAATATTTAAGTACTGTAGAACGTCAGTTAGGCTGAGGATGCTGAGACATCGGACAAACCGAAGACCGAGCCAATTGCGGCCGAGGTAGAGGGAGAGGAAGGCGGGTGGAATGGTAAATATATCAACGAGGGAGTAGAGCTCGAACCAGAAGAGGAGTCTATCATCTGAAACGATGAATCGAATGAGGAAGTAACAGAGGAATATCACGTTGAAGAGGAAATCCACCTTCTGGAAGGGATCGGCATAAATAGACACGCAGATTTCCAGACCTTGACGACCCGGTTCGTAGTGCAACTGGGTGGCGTCCAGCGAGTAGATAATGAAAGCTGCCACGTTCAAAGTGAAGACAGCTATGTGAATGATGCGACCGCTTATTCGCTGACCAGAGAGGGAGTCTCCCAGGCATTCCTTTAACTGGGTTCCAATCGCTCCGATGCTGGGTCGATGGGTGAGGGTGTGAGTCTTCGCCTTGCGACCACGCCAAGTCTCTCGGTGCCTTTCGCATTTGGGAAGTTGGATTTTGTAGTAAATCCAGAGTATCAGACGCACCACAAGGACAGTCGTGAATCCGGCTGTGAGAACCGTGAGACTGGCGATGATGAATGTATACCACAGACGATCCTCCAGACATCCCAGGGGTGTGGGTCGTAGGCCCTGCGAGAAATTGAGATAGGTGCTATACTTCATGCAATGTGGATGTGCTTCCGTCCCCTCTGCCCGACACAGCGTCGCGCATATGCTTGCGCCTAGTCAAACTCGCCTGCACACACACACACAGAACGGAAGCAGGAGATAGAGGGAGATTCGAACAGCCCACGCGAAGATAAACACGATCAGAGCGTTGATTGGTGGATGGCGGAGTGCTGCTTTACGTGCCTGCTTGCATCAGACGTCCACTTCATTGAAGTTCATGTGGTAACAAATAAGGTGAAAAAAATAGTAACTTGCTAAAGGAGAGAGAGAGAGGAGGAAGAAGTAAAAACTTCGCCCCCGATTTCGGCCAATATTTCACTCTTGAAAATGTATTTGCAAAAGTGAAGACAATGACATTTTGGGTTAGTTGGGGTGCAAGCCTTCTCCCCATTGGTCATTGTAGCAATGGGGTTTGTGACGATTTTCCTTGTCTCTAAGCGCCATGTTAAACACTCAAAATAGCCGTCGGTGTGGCTAATAATATCACCTCCGGGCTATTTATGGTACTCTGCAAATTGTTAGTACAAAGTTGGCAGCGTGTAATAACTTGTTCTTTTAAATTTACCATTTCCTATCACTCCTTTTGCCACCAAGCCAGAATGTCTTCAAGCTCCTACTTTTGGCCTTTAAAACCCATTTGCCGATTTTCGTTGCGTTCTAAACGTGGCGGGCTTTTTAGTCAACCAATTGGCGTCCAGCTATTCTTGCTAAAGTAAATACCGACTCTTCTCTGGAACTAACGCATATGTTTGAATATGCCTTTTAGATGACAGGTACGATCAGAGCACATAAGGTAGGTGAATGGGTAGGTGTCACTTATTCCGCGACACGGAGACCGGCTCCACTAGCTCTCCTTACCTGGATTTTCTGCAAGTTTCCCTGCCCCACCCTTCTCTCCCCCCCCATATCAGGCAGCCTAAAATGGCGTCTTCAAGCCAACCTCCCTGATTAAAGGCATCAGAAGTCATAAGGGGAGGAGGGAGAGGCAACTAAATCATTATATCTCGTTACAGATCCACTCAGCTATATGACCCCCTTTTCTAATTAAGCAGACGAAAAGTCCGTTTATCAGAAATTAAGTCCTCGTCTCCGCCTAGGAAAATCGGTAACGGCCACTCCGCCGCGTAGGTCGGTTTGATCTGACCGCTTGTCATCTAACATAGCAGATTCACGCAAGCAAATTTTTACGGCTTTTTTATAATCCTCATGAAATTATTCACTGAATTTGGCCAGAAACAAGGCTAAAATACCCTGAAAGCAGCCGCCAAATGCTACGAGGCTTTTGGCATTCTAAAATAATCCTTAACTACCTGGAGGCGGCGTTAAAACTAACCCTCTGTTTGTCATCCTTTATAATTATTAAGATGAAAAGAGGCACTTGAATGATTAACACTCTAAAAAGTTCTTCTCTTCCTTTTATTGCCTCTCTGTCAATGTCTGGCGGAGATATCCTAGTTCCTGGAATGCTAAATCATTGGGTGTTTTCACTGAGGCAGCGCTGATTCCCTTGGGTAACCTCCTACGGCCTACATATTTGTATAGTCGCCCAACGGATAAGTGTATGAATTGGTGCATGGATAGGTGCTAATCAGTCTCACGAGAATTTTTCCACCTTTTTCCTCCCAATCGTTTTAGTATTGAACGACTTAAAAGATTTGATGTCGAGATAATGGTGTAAAATCTACCCAAGTTTATCTTGTCTCTGTGGTATCTATCCTCTCAATCAGGATGTTGTGGAGGGGTCTTTCAACAACCATCAGGTCTAGATGAGAAGGACTATCTAATCAATTTCAGAGGTGTCATGACCGTGACGGAGTCTGGCAAAGTCATTGATTCTAAGACCTTGCGACAAAGAAGTCATGATTGGTCAAATCATCATTATTTGGCTAGATCAGCTCCTTATTTTTGCCCTACGTATAGCTGAACTCGAAGGAAAAGGTGAGATTTAGATGGTGGTGGTTTTGCAACTCCGAATTAGCCAAAAGAAAACAAAGTCCAACCCAAACTCTAAGGGGTTAATTCAAACTACCTCACTAGCTCTTTCCCATATGACTGACAACCGCAGCTTGGACCAGCAGGACACATAGGCACCTCTCTCCAGTCAGGGGACAGCGTTAGTATTGGCTGTGGAACCCCTCATCCGTGGATGAAGGACCATTTTGAGGAATAAACGCTGGCCTTAAGGCAGAAGGGAGGGCGGAAGGGCAGGTGAGCTTCTGGACAAATAGTGAAGTTGTGCTAACAAACAATGGAACGGTTTTGTCAGTCGCCTATCTGCCCAAACTAACACAATTAGTGCCTGTGACTGGGAGAAAGTTAAGTGTAGAAGTCCTTTTCTGGCCACTTTTCCCTTATTGTTTATACCATATTGCCATGACCTAGAGCGATATGCCCAAATGTTTGGGGCTCCCGCTGCAAACCATTAGCCTATTGGCTAATGAGCTTACAGGATTGGACACCGAGGTCAACCTCACGATCCCCCCTTACGTTTTGGGCTTGAGCAAGGCCCTAAAACAAATGAATAACTGCGTTAGTCATATTTTGAAATGTTCACTTACCTGTAATTCACATGTCTTATTGGAGTACGTGTAACAGCTCCTTTTAAATTCTCTTGTTTTTTTAAAGATTCGACACTTTAATGCTATTAAGAGCATGTAAGAGAATTGTTTTACAAAGGCACTTCTTCCGCGCACAATTAGAAGGCTGGGTTTAATGGGCATGTACTATCTGGGCCAATTTGTTACTCTCGGTCCCCCCCGCTCTCTCTCTGGTAAGTATTGTTTTGACATTTGATCCGCAAAGGCCTTCCCTTCCGTTCCGCCTCGTGAATAGGCCGTTAAAATGGCACAATCTAATGAGGAATTTATTGCTTCGGTTGTTTAGTGATTTGACAGCTAGTCAAACAAGCCTTGAAAAAGGAAGGAGGACAAGCGTACAAGTGCCGGATCAGGCCATTAAGCCAACTTCTTTGAAGCTCACATATTTGATCCTTAGAAGCATCGAGAGAAACGAATCACCTCCCCATGGTGCAATTAAATTTATCCTTTTTGAATTCCTCCACTGATATCACGGTGCTGGCAAACTTTTCCAGTTATGCCAAATGAATCTGGAGCGCTCAGATGATACTCGCGAATGACTCCACTCAACTGTGAGCTTACAGGGCTGTGTAGTGTGACAGCCAGTGTAGAGAGAGGCGGGATGGCAATCCACATCCTCCAACAATCTCGTAGCTAGTTGACAGATTATAAGGGTCATTTATGTTTCTATGCTCTTCACCTTAACTGACTCTTTATTGTCACTGGTTTAGTAGTCCGGAGTACAATCAGCACTCCTCCAAGTAGTGGACAAATAAATTTGGTGATGCCACCACCACAACCACAAAAGAACTTATCTTTACGTAGTTTAGATATCCAAAAATCGTCTATATTGGGATTAGGGAGCAGTTTATTTGCATTTTTCACCCTTTCCACTTACATAATGTGTGCATGATACAAGACAGCTTTGTTCTATGGTCCCATAGAGGAAAACAAATCTTCGGAATATCCCCACGGCTTTATCTGCACTCTTCTTTGATTCCCACTTACCAATTAGTGCACTGTGCACCCAAGTACTTAGTAAATTCTACTAGGATTGACGTAGAAATGCGATATTTGTCTCGTTTTAAATTTGAAAGATGACAAAATTGATCGGTTAGTGTTCGACCAGACGGCTTTCATTTGATTGGTCAGTGCTGCAACTTTGATTTTGGGAGCCAATCAACGCTCTCCAATTAAGTTGAGCAGTGTTAAGTGTGATTCTTTTTACAGCAGGTTTTCATACAAATAAGAAAGACATTGTGGTCAGGAAAGTGAACTTGTTTTTCCTCTATTTTTAAAATGCCTATTCTTAAAATCTACAATTAATATGTTTTAAATTTGATTTGAAGAAATGACTGAAATTATCCACCGCCACTCTCTTTAGGTGATTGACAAAAGAAAAGTTCGTGCAAGAAAGAGCCAAAATACGTAGTATTTATAGCCAGTTTACCTGCATAAAGGCATGGCATATTTTTCTAATTTTCTGCAAATCACGTTTCATTCTCTAATCTTTAGTAGACTTGTTAAATAAAATTATTTTAGCGAATAGTTTCATGTGCATTTCTGAACACACACTCATTCCATTGGGTAAATAATATTAGAAGGATGGGAAACATCTTGTTCATTTTACGCATCACCTGAGACCTTTTTATGGTGCCAAAATTAGCATGCGGTGTGCACTTTCTGCAAGTTAGTGCCTTAAGCCAAAGATGTTCATGTAGAATAGATAGACTTCGTCAAACATATAAGAGATCAATGGAATGCGAAAGAAATTTTGACTTTCAAAGTAGTTTGGAAGACGCAGTGATATAGTCTTATTATTACTGTAGAGAAAATAAATCGGGAGCTGTAGAGATGAATAAACCGTATGCCATCAAGGCGACAAGCGGGACCGTGGAGAGCGAGGAACCCATTAAAAGGAGCAGAGTTTCTTTTTATTACTCTTATCCTTTAACACAACAAGTCTTTTACTGTAACGATTAACAAGGAGGCAGGGACTCGCGTTGCTGGTTGGATGTCTCAGACGTTAATAAGCTTCCCGCAAGAATCAAATCCTCTGCATAGGAAACACACCAATGAAGAATTCTCTTGGCTACCAATCTTAAGGCTTAGACAATGCTCTACATCGACCCTATTTTGGAGACAAATCTCTTCTGTAAGGGTGATTTGAGAAGGAGTTTGACACTGACTGCGTTTAAGCACACATAGGCTTGACTCGTTGTTTCAAGACTAATGTGGCAGTAATGCTTAACGTGAGTGATGAAAGAGACTGTTTACACCTGCGTCAGCTAGAAAAGAGGAGGTGGTGTAAGCTACTTGATATCGATGTTCATCAACAAATGGTGGAAAATGAGAATCACAGGTCCACAAAATTTTGCTGTTCTTCACTTTTTTTTTCAAGTACGTTACGTATAAAAACTTGGATTTTTTGGCTCTTCACATGACTGCTTACCTTATGGTAGAACGATATCACCTGCATTCCAACGTTCTGTGAAAGAACCCATCATTGGCTATCCCCCGCGATCCCTTCACAGACTATTCCGCACTTCTAAGGCACGCGCCACATCGGCCCTACAAGACCGCTCCACTTGTCTGCCTGTGAGTGGGCAGAATCCATGCGCATTTATTCATGAAGGCTTAGATACTTGCTGCATATGAGACAACAAATAATTTGAGTAGCTGTCTACTGGATATATTTGGAGTCCACTTGGGAGTGTGCAAGATCGAGGGTTTCTCCTCTCCTCTACTCAGCATTCTCGTGGTGCATTCCCACGAGCCCTCACTAATTAGCATCTCTTCTTGACATCAACATCAGGCAATCACGTAATCACATCCCAAGTAGTGTAGGCAGTTGTGTGGCAACTTGAAGGGCGATAAAACCTTCGATTGCTAGTTCTGGGCTTCATTATGTTTGGCTTCGTATTTGACTTGGGTCGCTTTGGAAAAGGCTTGAAACTTAGTAATACTGGTTGAAATTAACAAGATGTGGTAAGAAGTTCTCTGAAATTCGTAAACCGTTTTTTTATAAAAAGAACTCAAGAATTTTTGGCTTCGCAGAGCTGAGCCCAGATTTTAATATTTTGCTACACTCTGCCTAAATTTGACTAAATTCTAGCAACTTTTTTTTAATGTCACTTTCCAACCTTCCTGGACATACAAATCGGGTGTCCTTCTCCCGTTAGGATGTCGTGTGAAAGGCAGTCCACATATTTTAATCGTAGGCTTTATTTGAAGCATCAGGGAGAGGCGCCATCTTATTCACAAAGCGACCAAAAGTTTCCTCGGACAACCGTACCTACGGCATGATTGCATTCATCAATGCAGGGTTTCATTCCATTGTCTCGGGGATGGAATTGTAAAAGTCTGAAGCCCACCCTCACAGTTGTTCATGTGCATCTAATGAATACGGTACGATAAGCAGTACTGCCTCTTCGAAAATATTCCTCCCGACTCTGTACCAACTTTCCTGCATGAAATAACATTAGGTTATTTCCTCTCCTTTCCTTTTTAATTGAAACAAATTACCCACTTAGCTTCAGGTTTTAAAAATATCTTACGCAGGACATGGTGAAGAAAATAGAGGCGAAGAAATTCTCCAAGTGAAAGATGATGGAATGTTAACAATGGGTAGAGAGCATACAAAAGTCATGTGCCTTGGTATCCCCGCTGATTAAAGGGGAGAGAAACGGATGACAAATTTACCCTGCACATGAAGAAATAGCCAATGTCGTGGAATAGCAAATTTTAAAAGTTACTTCCATAAAATTTCTAAAAATCTAAGTAGGGATCGTTTTGTACCCGAAATTAGTGAGAAATTAGCAAATCAATTTAATTGTATGGTAACGTTTGACAGCCAACCTACAAATCAGTTGTCATTTAAAAATTGGTTCTTTTAGTTTATTATAATTCCGCATTAAAATGCCCTAATCAAATGACAAAATATTTTGCATTTCAATGAAAAGGTTTTTTTAGCTTAAAGTTATTTTGTACTAATGGGTTTTTAGTGACAGAACGGTTTCATGGATTAGCCTGAGATGCGGATTTTCCAAAAAGTGGAAAACACTTTTAAAATCTACCCCATTCGGCATTTTAACCAATCATCATCAAATAGCCAGTGACTCGGAACGCGGGCGGCATAGAGAGGGCATATTTTACAGGGAATTGATAGTGCGGCATTTTTATTCAACACAGCACAGCCCAATTCGGGTAATATAATCCCTAAGGCTTGTGGTATTTGTGTGCAGATCTATTTTTGACCTCAGATTGCCTGTCGCTGTTGCGCTGGCAGCAATTCTAACCTGGCGACTGTCAATCCTACTGGGTGTTGGAAACGACTAGCTGATAGCAGTCCACCAAATTGGCCAATTTGCTCTATTTTAGTGTGGTATTATTGTGAAGCATCTGGAATTCTCGAATAATCCCCTAGTTGCCTCGAGAAGCATCGCAGGGGAGACTTTCTTTGAAATCCTTTCAACACAGGAGAAGGTAGACTTTTATTGTAATCTAACCAACGTGGCTGTGGTCTATGGAATGATTTGTCTCCTTTCCTGTTTTGTCATGCAATAGGTTATGTATCGGTCGGGGATCTAGCATCGGGCGTACCTTACGCCCGGTTGAATGTTTACAGAAGCAAACTGGGTACCACCACGGCTGACGTGGATGAGCTACCGCAGTGACGAACTACCTTGTTGGAAAAACCTCGTTTTACATAGGTTTACCAGTGCATTTAGACAATGCATTCTATCTGTCAAATTGCGTTCTCCGTAAAAGAAATTCCTTCTCCTCAGCTCCCACGGGGACAATAATGGGCGATCGCTAACCGACATTTGGTCACCAATGAATGGTGTCCGGCTTTTCTAACGCTACACAACCGTTCCATATTATATATCACGGTCATTGAGAGAAAGCTATTTCTTGTGGTGAGGGAAGCCCTCCAACCTACTACCTTGGTCTTTTGACACCTGTATAGCCCAACTTTCCAAATATCATCAACATCTTAAGAGAAGTGGGAAAAGGAGCCAAATGTTTTTGGTCTTTTGTAAGGCCAAGAAAGACGTTTTCCCTAATGAATGTTTTGACGCTGTTGCCAGGCGACTGTTAAATATCAAGGGTTGCCGAAACATCCGCATGTACAAACACACCCTTCGGAACTCCAACAAATGTGTCTGTGGATTTGTTGAATTTGTCTGGCCCTTTTGGCCTTCGCTTGTATTGTCTGGTTTACCATTTCTTCTGCAAAAGTAAGCAGTAAATGGGCCTCCTTTACTCATTAAATGGTAATAGTAAGTCTCCCTCTTTTTCCGATGAGAGAAATTAAGTCATCTGATACAAGTTTTCTAGCCGGGCTTCACATGACGTCTGCCCAACTGGGTCATCTTGAGGACCAGGTTAAGTGAGCCCAACCAACCGCTAGGTCTTATTTTACCCCCAAGGCCTGCCGCCAAGTAAATGATGGTTACTCGGTACTCTTTCAAGCCTGAGTAGCTATGCTAAGGCCACAATCAGATGGCGTTGTTAGTCGGGCGCTCCTGAATACACCACGTCGGTGTACCTTACATTCTACCCTCATTTCTCCAACTAAATTCAGGCGATTAATTTGGCCTTAACACCTTCCCCCAAAAAAGCTTTTGTTAGGGGTAGGGCATGCAGTCATGGGATATATCGTCATCTACTAATCAGGAATTGTCTAGACCATTGGTCATGCCTTTTGATTGCCTTTGATCGCCTTTCGGATGCCGAAGCGATTTTCATGACAAAGGGAAGTGTGCGCTCGTGCCACCTCTCAGTAAGCCTCTCCTCATCCGGGATTTTAGGTCTATACTCCTTATCTCTTCTTATTATCGCCGATTAGCAGGTGCACAGAAGTTGAGCCCAACACTGATGAGAGGGGATAGCGTAAAATTCAAAACAAGGCGGTAATTTTATCGGATGGAGGACAGGTCAAAACGCCAAAGAACGAAGTCAACCGGTATGGCAGCCGAGTCTACGAGGACTTGCTGCATGCTACAGGTCTCAAATGTTAAACTATCCCTGGTAGTGGATAAATAAACCATATCTCAGCCTTTCCTAACGCTACCTACTCAAAATACGCACCTAACCAACTCGTTTCACCTCCCGTTGAGTTGTCTACTCAACTTGGCATGTAATCACGTGATCGTCTGATGGTAATGTCAAGGCGAGGTGTTAATCAGTGAGGGCTCGGAGTACTAATAGCAATAGGATGGGGAGAAGAAGGAGGAGTCAGAAACAGTATCTACATCTCTTCCATTATTTGTGCTAAGCTCCGCGTTAAATCTAACTTCCTTCCAACTGATCGACTGGACTTGACTCTTCCTGAAGAAGGGATAGAAGGATGAGAAGAGGAGTTTATTTTCCTCCTTAAGAATGGTCTTTGTTGTAGCGAGTAGGTAGATATTCGCCTTGATTGCTCCTGCATTCCACCATACACAAACGCGCTAGCACAAGAAGCAAAGCCATGAGGCACTGATGTAGTGCGTGCCTTGGGGGTATGTGGATACTTTATGATACATTCTTTGGCTTAACGTTGTGCAAAAGATGACAATGCCCATCAAGGGGTAGTCAGTCAAAAGGAAAATCTGCAAGCGTCAAGTTTTTATACCGTGCGATAATGAGTTGACGTTCAACAATGTACAGGCTCCGAGGCTTTCTTTCCCATCTGTTTACCAGCTTCCACGACCTTCCTTTTCCTTGCAATGAAGGCATTAACTGTATGTCGTATCAATCACACCTTCCTTACCTGAAATTACTTCCAGCTGGCGCCTTCTGTTACCGCACTTCGCATAGCACGTAATGAAAGTGAAGAAATGCTCCTGAACTTTTCCTCTTGAGCAAGTATTCATCCAAGTGACAAGCAGTCTGAAGCACTGTAAAGCTTTGGAATTCTCGCGGTGCATTTCATAAATGGAGTGTTTCAATGGAGACCACGAAAGCAAAAAAGCCTCGGTTCCATTAAGATCGTGGTGTGAAAGGTCATTACAAAACCTTCATTTTTGCCTCCTTTTCTCTCGACTAATTTTAAAAGATGCAATTACGATGGAGTGGTCAACACAGGAAGGAGATTACAGAGGACGTTAGGGCTGACAAAGGAAAAAGCGGTACCAATATGGGTCACTAAGGCTCGGTTGGCGTCTTGTGTCAACTTGTCATATGCAATGGCACAGACTTATGCTAATGACGATCTCGGAATTGTTGGCTTCCGGCCCACACCTTCAATATTTAGCCGATATATCTACTGAGTTAGTCATCTACCAGAAATTCCAGTTCGACTTGAACGCCTATTGTTGTTAGCTTCTTTCAAAATGACCGACGCATTATATAGGTGAGAGGTTGGAAGAGGCGATGCAGAGGGGGGATATTTGCATTCTTTAAGGTGGCGATTTAACACCAAAATTGCAAGCCGATATTTTTCTAAACCAAGCGCCTAACACTTGCCCGATTTCTTCCCTCCCGCCTTGGGTGTAGGCTTGCAGCCTCATGAGGCACATGACTTTATACAACTTCTGCCCTCCTCCCCTTCTTCCTTCGTGCCCCCTTCCACCTTCACCTCCTTACCCCACAAACTTCTTCATGAGTTCTTAATGGAGAGACAGATGTTGCAACATGCCAAAGAAGGCCGACCATATGGTCCCGGATGGCTTGAATTAGGCCTGCGCCCTAATCTTTTTAATCCTTTTGCATGCAACTTCAATGAACTCCGGCAGATCGTTGAGTTGCCAGTTGGGGGTAAACGATTTATTTGGGTAGCTACTTCTAAAAGAACTGCTGAAGGTTATTTTCTTCAATAGGCAATACGATAATTGGCAATTGTTATGAATACCCTAAACGACGTCTTTGGCTGAATTCAAAGATAGTTTAATGGGGAAAGGCTACACCACCCTTACTTTGCGCTCCTTGAGTCAAGTGCTCAAGTTCTGGGAGAGTTCAGCCATGCCGAGTGGCAGCTGCGCACAGGCATAATACACGAACAAGAGAGCTTTACACTTCCAGTCACCGCAGATGACGAAATGACGAGAAAAGCTAGACACTTTTATAAATTGCAGCCAATATCATCTTCCAAGACGCAATCGTTGATTCACGTGTTTGGAGTCTTCAGAATTCCTCCTGGTGATTTGGTGCCCTTAATCGATTCATTCTCAATTCTCTCCTCCCGTTCAACCCACCTTTCATTTAAATCTGGTGACTGAGACCTGAATTTATCTCGGTTCCAACAAAGCAGAAGTCTCTTTCCACTTTAGTGATGTAGCATTTTGAGAAGGTGTGGTAACAAAGTGTGGCAACAGAAATCATCGTCTGGAAGTAGGTGTAGACGAGTAATTTGCGCTTAGTAACGATTCACTCAAGGAATCCACTCTCTTTTTGGTAAAGAAGACAAACGTGTGAATTATTAAGCGGTCGGCTTACATTTTTATCAATTAGAGACGAGGAAGTCGTGGAAGCTGCTGTCCACCAAAGTGTACTAAATGCTTCAAACTCCTAAGGCAAGACGCTGCTACTGTGATAGACCGTGGAAGCAATTCCTCACTTGGAATCAATCACTTGTTGAAGTAGCCACGGGCTGAATGTATAAAAGAATGAGCACCCACCCCTCCTTGTTTTTTACTCCTCGAGAAGAAGAATGTCACAGTCTCTTTCCTACATGATATTTCAAGAGTCTTCAACCTCTGGCCACGATGGGCAAGTCTACGCCCTGCTTTACGGTGCTAAAAGGTTCCTTTCGAAAGTCAATTCGCCTTCTTTTCATGCCTAATACTCGGAAGTCTTAGAACCCGCCTCCATTTGTGCTCTGGTTGAGTTTTCCCTATAGGTAAGGTCGGGGTCATTCAAAATAATCTAGTGGACAAATAAACAAACGCCGAACTCCTATTCGGTCAGTAGGGGAAACCACAATGTACAAGTTAATGTCGTGGTATTAACACAGATTGAGAAATACGTAAAGTCAGGAAGAAGTTGACGACCTTTTCACTAAACCAGTGGTGTTGACAAACTAGTCCTGCCTAAACAAACAAACTTCCTGAATGAATAAACTAAATGGTAGAAAAAATGTCTATGGCAAGTGCCGCCTAGGAGTGACTGAAAGATGGCCACTAACGAAAAAATGGAAGTATACGTTAAAAAGTAAGCATACGACTACCTGGAAGTCCTTCAGCTGTGAAGGAAAATCGGTGTCGTGAGATGTGACGCCGAAGGATAATTTCTGAGAGGGTCGTTAACTCTCCAGGAAGAAAAAATGGAGGATCAGCGATTGTTTTAATCAAGCACGGATGTCCGAGGCACATGAAAGCACAAGCCAGTGCTATTAATCGATGCAAATCACCGTCGACGTCATCTGCAAGCAAAGGGTGTCATTATGTCAACTTGTCATATGCGACTCTACGTACATCTGTTAACGACGATCTTGGGTTTCATGTTCGCCAGCCTACAACTGTGAGTATTCAGGTGACGAGTTAAATATCTGATGATAGACGTCTGGGTGACGCTTAGCCTGTCGTGCCATAACAGAGGACAGGGGAGGAATTTTTCTGTGGAAGCGCTGGATACCCGTACAATACAAGGCCAAAAAGGCTTTACAACTTTGACCACCACAAACGACGAGGTGAGTACTCCTCTGAGTTGAAACAACTTTTGACAGGGAAATATTGGCTGTCCTGACAATTGCTGGCGCATCATCTTCCATAGCACGCTCTTCGAGTCAAGCATTCTCGAGTAGTATGGAATCACTTGGTGGTGAAGTGAAGTAGACTGTTCTGGGGTAGCTCTGCCAAAATGCTGACTTCGCATGAGCCAGTTAAATGTATACAGCTCATCTATCTCCTTTGGAGTTGTGTCTAGGCCAATAGGAAATGGGTAAACTCTAATTTTCTTTCTCAAAAAATTATCACTTTAATTACCAATTAAGTCGGTTATTTAAATCCCTCTCCAACCAAGAAGCCCCCACGCTCCAAAAAATAAAGAGCTGTATTTGAGGACAGATGGTACCACGAAAAGCGTCGAAGAAATGTCGCTTGACAGGCGGATATTTTGGTGATCCATTGGATGTGTGGAGCCTAGCAGAGGGATAGAAATAACCCCAAACAAGCCTATGCGCAACTGTTGTATCGGTCAGTGAGTGAAAGTGGAGTGGTGACTTAATGTGGGACGAACTTTTGCATTACGACTTCTTCAGCCTGAAATGTGAAGAATTCTCCCATTCACCTGCGTGTGCCTCTGTACATTGTAAATTTTTCAAGCACCGCGGCTCCGCTTGACTCCTCAGCCGGCTTCGAGCACTCCAATGCCAGGAGAGGGAGGCTAATCTGCTTCCGTTTCATCTCCAATGCTCATTTAATTCAATCACTTTATGGCTTCCTAAAAGCTTCAGAATATGTTGGTTTATTACATTTATTTTTTTAGGGGATGGGAAAAGGAAGAAAGAAAGGCGGATTTACTTTCCTGCAAATATTCACTATAAATTACTAAAGTAGAAATGGAAGTTTGCTGCTGCTTTTACTCCCTATCTAAGCCAAAATTTTGTCTCAAATCACTTTTTCTTCAATAAGGGAAACGTGATAAATTACAACAAATTGTCATTTCAGGGTATTAGGAGCCAATCAGCCAATCAAACAATCAATGAATGGGTAGATTAATGAGTGAATCAATCAGTTAAAGCAAGCTTAAGAAATGCACATAACAGAGTTATGCAAGGCCCCGTTTTAGGTAAATCAGTTCAGGTGTAAAGTAAGTTGTGAACATTTCACCGAATTGATTGTGAATTTAACAGATTGGCTACTTTACTCCAGGTCAAACAAAACTTATGCTTTTGGTAAAACCCTAAATATAGGTGAAGTGGAATATTGCGATCCAAAACGGTGACACTGTTGAATCGGACAGGTTTGTTTACCCGGAGAATTGAATTCTTTTCTCATCACAGCGATGTGGGGGTATTTGAGGTCAATTGCCCAACATTTTCTATGATTAAACACGGACGGAAAAAGCTAACTGATTTGCTACCCTCTAAGAGGCGCAGAATAGGCCGTTAATGCTCGCAAGATATCAGTCACGCAACCATTAGCCCCAGGTGTTTTACAGCATCAATCAAAAATAAACAAATGCACAATATTTTAGTACCCCAATGACATACGAAGAACACGGAACTTTGAACTTAACTCCCTTTGTCTGAAAAAAAAACAACTAATTTATTTTAACTCAAAGCCTTATGCATTTGCTCCATGACATTATCTTGTTTCCATTTGTAGTGTTTGATGCATGTAAATATCATCAATGTTGCTATATAAAGTTGAAAATTAATTTGCACTTACCGCTTGACAATTATGTCCTTGCCACTTTTTGGATTTTTAAACCACCTGCATCTAGAAGAATGATGAAAATAAAATAGATTGAATTTTTTAGCTTGCAATTTGTTTGACGCATCGTTTATGTGGCGGCCAAGTTGAAGTTCGTGGACTTGATTCTGGGTCTCGTATTGACGGTTGTAAGTTGTGCCCATCGTGAACCTTGCAGCATAGCGGGATACAATGTGTCTGTTAGTTTCTAACAATCTTTTAGTCGCTTAATGTGAAATCCCATCTACACACTACACATTTACGTTTTTTCAAGTTTGAGAGCACTGTCCATTCGCACGTTTTAATCCAGGACTGCCCAAAATGACCAAAACTGCACTGGTTCTCTTGGCGTGTGGAGCTGAGGAACTAGAGACAATTGCCGTCGTTGATATTTTAGTTCGCGCAAAGGTAATTTCAAGTATAACTCACTTAAACCGATTCCGCCAGGTCAAGGTTGTCGTCGCCGGTGTTGGTGGCCCCAGCGTAGTTACGTGCAGTCGCGGTGTGAGGATTCAGCCTGATGTTGCGCTTGCTGATGTTGTTGGTACCACATTCGATTTGGTCTACCTCCCTGGTGGTATGGAAGGCATGAGAGCTCTCTCCAAGGTGCGTCAAACTTCCGATTAATTTTCTCCCAGAGCGCTGATGTCGGTAAAGTGCTCAAGGACCAGTACGAAAACAATCGCTACATCGCAGCAATTTGCGCCGCACCTTGCGCTCTCAAGGCACATGAAATCGCCAAGGGTGCAAAGGTGACAAGCTATCCGTCGATGAGGGGCGATCTAGACGGTAGGCTATGCTTCCTCTCCTCCAGAGAAATCATTTTTTCTACTTTAGTTTATTATAACTACCAAGAAGAGACGATTGTTGAAGACGGACATCTCTTGACCAGCCGCGGGCCAGGCACCGCCACTGCTTTCGGTTTGAGATTGGCTGAGTTGCTGACGGACCGCGCCACCGCTAAATCAGTTGCCGCGGGCATGCTCCTCTCCTAAAAAGCCTAACGTTCCGTGGTTTAGTCATTAGTCATGCACTTTTCTTAATTTAAAGACCCTCGTCCCGCTTTGGGTTTTTAGAAAATTCGAATAAAGTACCAGCATTATTGCCATTGTTCGGTGTGTCTTGCCCTTCCGTAGCTTTGTCGGACTCATCAATACATGGGAAGCCAGAAGAGATCCCTTATCCAGATGGATTGATTTTTTGGTGGTATTCTCTGACCTCACTTCATTTAAATGCCTTCTAAAGCTTAAGCAGTTATTTAGAGAGATGTGTGGCGTAGACTCAGTGCTTTCACTCACACGGGCGTTGCTTCGCACTTCGTAAGCGAAGCCGTTGATCTCGATGGACCCGCTTGTGTTGGCATTTTGCTTATCATCTGGCACGCGGGAGTCTACCCCTTCCCGAGCCTAGTCACCCAGACAACCAACCATGTCCGGCTAAGTAACTTCGTGTGTCTCCACCCATGGTGGCAAACAGGGTGCCACACGAAGCTAACGTACGGACGCCCGTCCTCACCCGGTGGATACTCACTACTGACCGCGTTAGACACCCTGGGAGAGCAATTGGGCTTCATTCCTCTCGTAACTTCAATTATGTAAAGGAAAACCCTCCCAGGTGCTCGAACAACAACCAACCAGATCTTGACAGCTAGCCACCCGTTGGCCCGAAACCCGTGCGGGTATTCACATTTATCAACTGGTGCTATTGGGTTGTTGCATGTAACCCCATCCTCTTTCCTGTTTCAAATAAGGTGTCAATTTCACAACCATTTTACAGCATATTGGCCAAGACTTCAATATGTATAATGCCAGGGGGAAGAGAAGACACATTCAACAGCCTGCAAAATCACGTGTGGAGTAATAAAGGGAGAATAAGAGGAGGTGGGAAGAGGGGGGTGGAAGACCTTTACTGTTCATTTGCAGTGATTATCTTCATTACCTTACCCACTCCGATTGTCTTTCCCTCGTCTCGCAGTGTAAATCGGCCCATTTGAGCGTAGTCCTTGAAACACTCCAAGCATATGGACCCACTTATTGCCTGAAAATTTGTTTCCAATATTTTGTTAACGAGCCCTGTATGCACATTTGGAAAATCGCTACCTGAGAACAACTAATGGCCTGAGGCAGCAAATAAGTCGGCTACCCGCATATCAACTCGTCGTGATGCATGATGGTACCTACCTCAAATCGCACGATAGCAACATCATCCTGTTTGATGAAACGTGGCCGGATATCGGTTTTTTCATTGGTCTTCCTGTCGATGCGACAGAGGATAGTGCGGAAGCGGATCTCCTGAACGCACGCGTGAATATGCATCACCGCAGTGAAACCGGGACATATTATGGATTTGTAGTCCACTATCACTAACTGCACGTCAAACACGTGCGCTACCTGGTGTACATACACAGAAAAAGACAAGATACAATCAGCTATTCTCCTACTAAGTAGGGCACTGATGGGCCACCTAAGTAGCGAAACTCACGTGACAGAGGTTGTCAGGAGAGCAGAGGACGAAACCTGGAGAAATGTCCTCCTCCTCGACATTCTTTAGCTTCAACTTGACATTATCGCCAGCAGCGCTTCCGTCAACCTCGACATCGTCGTTAAGGATCTAAGAAAGAAGTGTATCCCCAAAATGCCCCTTTCCGTAGACAAGCTTTGACAAATACCTACCTGAAGAACTTCCACAGGAACCCTGTTAGGCATCATGATCAAAATCTGACCGCGAACAAGGGTTCCGGACTCGATTTTGCCAACAACATACGTGCCCATATCCTTAAAACGGTCAGAAATGGGTATTCGCAGTGGGCCATCGACACATCTGGCGAGTGATGGGAGCTTGTCAAGGTATTCCAGCAAGGTAGGCCCCTTGTACCATTCACAACGACTGTCATTCGGTCTATCACGCAAGAAGGCGCCCGTGAAACCAGAGCAGGGAATGAAGTAAATATCTGACTTGACGTTAAAGCCAATTTTCTTAAGAAAAGGCACCAATTTTTCACGACACTCGTTGAATCGTGACTCCTCCCAGTTCACCGTAGAATCATCCATCTTATTGATGAGGATAATCATGTGTTTCACACCTGTGGTCTTTACCAGCATCGCGTGTTCACGCGTCTGGCCGCCACGTTCGAAACCGGTTTCGAATTCACCACGACGAGCAGAGATGACGAGCACAGCAATATCAGCTATGGAGGCACCGGTGATCATGTTAGGAACGAAGGATTTGTGACCGGGAGCGTCAACCAAAATGAAATGTTTGTGCTCGGTTTCGAAAAAGGCTCGGCCACATTCCACCGTAATACCCTTGTTTCGCTCCTCTACACTAGTGTCTAGAGCCCATGAGAGATACCAGGTTTCACGATTTTTTTCTTTCGCTTCTTTAGCGTACTTTTCCAGGGTTCGAGAGTCGACCATACCTAGTGAGTTTAATTAGACAGTAAACGGTAGCAGAATACCTGTTAAATATAGTAAATGTCCTCCGATCGTTGACTTCCCAGCATCAACGTGACCAATAAAGACAACGCTGAGCGTCTCCTTCTTGTTTTTGGGAGGAATATAGGCCTAGAAGTGAATTACTCGGATAAACCAGAGTACCACTGCTTGACGCTTAGGTTCTGACAGTGTGGATGGTGCGAATTCCTTCTCTTCAGCTGCAAAAACACTTAATTATTAAAGCCATGATACCATCGGGGCATTGAGGAGTATCGACTAGAGACGGAACCGGGTCCCTTTTGGTCTCTATCGCCTTTGCCGTGTCAGGCTCCGATGAACCAGACCACACAGCAGGCGTCGCAGAGGCACCGAAGCCGTACATTTGACCAGGAATAAAAACTGGAGCATTCACATCCAATTTCGAAAAGTCAATGCTGATATCAGACACTGGTTGATTGGCTTCGTCTTCCCACGAGGCCATAGTTTATGATACCTAGTTTAATGCACACCAACAGTAGCAAAAAGATGGCTTGACGATTGGTTGGGAAGTCGAGGCTACTTAGTATGCATCAATATTAATGTTCGCCTATTCCTTTAAAATTGGTGTGTACTTAATGGCCTAATTTTAGGTCATAGCTCAAAGCAATTTCTTGTTTAAATTGCAATAGGCTGTAATCCCGTTCGTTTTAAGATTTCAAAATGCTTTCTTACTGCAAATTATAAAGTTTTCCCGTTTTGAGCTTTGTATAAGCAGTTATCCAAAAGGTAAAAGGCCGTTTAAGATGAAGTACTAATCTAAGTTTAGAAGCGAAACACAAAAAATATTTCTTTTCTATTTCGAGTTGTTGTACTTTTGGCATTTATGCGGCTTATTCAAAATTTTCTGATTTTATTGTTTACCTCAAAATTTTTTTACTAAACTAACTTTTAGGTGGCCCCTAACTGATCCGATAATTTGGAATATTAACGGCATCGAGTATCATACACACTGACTACCATGTTTTTTTGTCTTGTATAGATGAAAAAATCAGCGTTTTACATACGATATGTATTGCAAATATCATCCCCATCTTCCGAAATCATCCTCCTAAATCACATTCCTCTCTGTGCTTGCAGTCTAGCCACACTGAAGCCATTTGCCCCTGGTCACTGGTGCAATAGTGCCTAATTCATTTTTTTAATGACACCATTCCCGACGTCGTAACATTACAATGTATGCCAGTTTGTTTTGATATGCACCGTAGGTTACGTGCGACCCGATCATGCCATCTTCGTGGTTGAGCGGGTTTCACCGTTTTACAATGTGGAGCTGAATACTGATCCCCCATAAAGCTTTTACAACTAATCGATCTCTTCCCTTTTGACAAAATTTAGTTTGCCTTCCTCTGACCGGTCCTCTCAATCCAGTGAAAAGACTAGAGTAGCATGGCAAGGCACCACAA